TTCAGCTCTTATATATTTATGTTTCATGATACGTTATTATAGATGATGTTTTGTTCAGTACTGGTCTTTGCGGAGCATAGTGGTTTGCTCACGCCCCCATTGTGTTTTTCAGGAGACGGAGTCGAGCGTGTCGGATGAGCACAGATGTGGCGCAGCGTGGTCATGAGAGTCGGACATATTTTACCAGCATTTTTATGTCCTAGATTTATGATCATGTGTATTTTATTCAGTTTATGTACGCATGTTATGTATTCGTATTTCGGATGCTTCCGCCAGCGAGTTTTCTAGACAGTGCGAGACAGTACAGACTACGCATGTATAATTCCATAATCCGCGAGCGGATAGTTTGGTTGCATGTTTTTTTATTATGTCTGCGGGCAAGCCCGAGTTCAGTTTAAGTTTTTATCTGCCACATCCCGCAATAAGTCAGTATTTTCGAAAACCCAGCTCGCACATTCTTTCGAAAATAAAAACAAAAATTTTTACTCTGATTTTTAAAAGCTAGTAGTGAGGTGGGGTGTGACAGGTTGTACCGCTTACCCTTGAACCAATTTCCTCCCAACGCGATATGCCTCCTCGTTGGTTTCATCATGGTATGTCAAGCCCGCCTCGGAAAACTTGACCCCGAGCTTTGTTTCTATTGCCTCTGTCTCATCATGGTATGTCGAGCCCGCCTCGACATACTTGATCCCAAGCTTTGTTTCTATTGCCTCTGTCTCAGACACATGAACAACTCCACCTACCTCATGTGCTGCAACAATACCCATTTCTTAGACTAACCAAAGTCAAAGATCCATAATTGGAAAAGCAAATTTTATTTTGTCCGATACCTTCGACTTCCCACCAGATTGGCTAGACAAGCTGCCAGGTCAGCGCAATAACCCGAAGCAGAACGCCGAATACGACACCCTCATCGGGCGATGGAATGATAGCCTGCTCCACGTGGTGAAGCTGACCACTAACGACCAGCTCCTTCGGCACTTTCAGCTGTCGAGTTGTGCCGCCGAACCCATGGGTGACATAGGTAGGCCTCGACGCCACGAGTTGCCATCATATCGCTTACACTTTCCTTTACGCTAGTCCTATTCATATAATCTGTTTACTTATATTTTTATCCCTCATTTGTCTTGCAAAGGAACTCTTCAAAATCGTGGCCGCCACCCCCGCCAAGTCCTCAGGAGCAGCACCTATTCCTCCCAATGTGCCAGTCCAGCAGGGGGTCGACTCCTCCTCGGTCGAGGTCCTCGAGCGCCAGCACTACCGTGAGCCGCCGCAAAAGTCCTTCAAGCATAAGAAGACTTGCCCTAAAGCGGAGACCACATCGGCACAGGACGCCGAGCCCTGAAACGACCAACTCAATTTTCCGGGAACAAGCATGTATCAGTGACCAACTCTTATCTTCTCGACATCTTCCCGAAGGGCGAGGCAACGAAATGGCCCACCAAGGAGCGTCAAGCCGCCACCATCACCTACCACCTTGGTCTGATATGACTCTACCACCCTGAACTTACACCTTCATTAAACAAATATTTCAAAATTGGTGCAAAGCCCTTTGTCCCAAATAGGCTTTGGCTGGCATAACTCCTCTCCTCGACGAGCAACTGGAGGGCGACGATGACGAGGTGAAATCCCTCAAGGACAAGGTGGAAAAGGGCAAAGAGCGATTCACCGACCTCTAGAAGGCCTCGAATCACCAGAAGCCAAAAGGGAGAAGCTCCGAGGCAAGCTCAAGGCCAAAGATGCCGAGCTCAAAGCCAAAGACGTCGAGCTCAAAGTCAAAGACACCGAGCTTGAAGCCAAAGACGCTGAGCATGAGAAGCTTTGACGGTCAGTTGATGGGCGCATCGCCCAGGCTCACACGGATGGCCAGGGGTCCTTCCTTTCCTCGGGTCTCGGAGGTCACTTACTCTAGTGCTACTGAGTCGAGCTGTTGTCGCGCTACCACGACTCAAAGGCATTCCTCGAGTGGATCTGTACGGCCTACCGTCAGTATTTCCATGAGGGGGTCATGCAGACCCAAACCGAGGCAAAAGCCCAAATCTTTACCGTCTCTGTGGATGAGGATGTGATGATGAGAGGCCTCCATACCCCAGCGGGATGGAACAGCGACAAGCCTCTTCCTTCGACCCATCCTTGGTGGGATTCAGCCTTGGAGGTTGCTGCGAATACTGTTGTGGTCCAGGCCAGAATGGAGGTGGAGAAGATCATCGTGCAGGAAGACGACGTGCCACCTTCTTAGATTTATATGTGATTTCCTTTTGGTGTTAAAGTAGATGTGTTGAACAAACTCTCATTATTCTAGCATGTAATCTCGTACTTATTTTGCCGTATGCTTTCGTATGTTCAATGTATCATGTTTGTCTTTTCTATCTTTTTTGAACCGACTCCGCTTGTTTCCTTTTAATGAGACATCTACATATCATCGTTTACTTGTTTCAAGCACCGCATACTTACATAATTCATTATTGTACAAATAACCATCCCCTCTTTCATGATAGGATTCATTTACCAAGTCTTGCAAGCACTTAGCATTGTAACAATGGGCTTTTGCACCAGCACAATTATTGCTAAGTATTTCAAGACTCGCATTCCCAACTTCACGCGACGGCCACGCCAAGCCTCAGCTAGAATTTAACAGGCTTTGACCCTACGAAGGTCGTCACCTAGCTCCGCGAGCTTAGGCGAAACTGACAGGCTCTCGCCCTATGAAGGTCGTCGCCTAGCTCAGCGAGCTTAGGTAAGACTAACAGGCTCTCGCACTACGAAGGTCGTCACCTAGCTTCGTGAGCTTAGATGAGACTGACAGGCTTTCGCCCCACAAAGGTCGTCGCCTAGCTCCGCGAGCTTAGGTGAGACTAACAGGCTTTCGCCCTACGAAGGTCGTCGCCTAGCTCTGCGAGCTTAGGTGAAACTTAAAGGCTTTTGTCCCACAAAGTTCGTCGCCTAGCTCCGCGAGCTTAGGTGAGACTAACAGGCTTTCGCCCCACAAAGGTCGTCATCTAGCTCCGCGATCTGAGGTGAGACTGACAGGATCTCGCCTAGCTTCGCGAACTTAGGTGAGACTAACAGGCTTTCGCCACACAAAGGTCGTCGCCTAGCTCAGCGAGCTTAGGTAAGACTAACAGGCTTTCGCCCTACAAAGGTCGACTAGCTCCGCGAACTTAGGTGAGACTGACAGGCTCTCGCCCTACGAAGGTCGCCGCGTAGCTCCGCGAGCTTAGTTGAGTCTAACAGGCTCTTGCCCTACGAAGGTCGTCACCTAGCTCCGCGAGCTAAGGTGTGACTGTCAGGATTTCGACCTAACACATTCCATACAAGAGAAGAATCAAGCTGATAAAACTTCAAAAGCAATCTTATAAATAGTCTTGTCGAAAAAAGAACCAAAGCAAATGAAAACAAATGTAAATAATATTTCTTAAGTTGCGCATAATATTTCTTCAAATGTGATATGTTCCAGGGCCGCGGCAACAGCCGCTCCCCCGTATCACGAAGCTCGTAGGAACCTCCAGCGAATACCCTTTCGACAGTATAGGGTCCCTCCCAGTTGGGCTCCAGCTTCCCCACATGCTTCAGGGCATCCGCCTGACACTAGACCAAGTCCCCGACCTGGAATCGCCGAGCTTGAATTGACTTGTCATGGGCAGCCTTCATCCGCTGCTTATAAACTGCTGTCCTCAATCCAGCCTGGTCACGTAACTCGTCCACCAAGTCCACTGCTCCCTTCGGAGCTCAATGTTTCCTTCTTTCGTATAGATGCTAACCCGCTCTAAGTTGAGGCCGACCTCAACTGGGATGACAGCCTCCATACCGTAAACCAAACTAAATGGCGTTTCCTCCGTTGAGGTCCTCGGCGTCGTCCGATATGACCAAAGCACTGAATCAAGTTCGTCCACCCAAGCTCCTGAAGCTCTTTCCAACCAATTTCTTGGATTATTCTATTTATCGAATCTTATTTATGAGATTATATTTATTTTATTGGTCACGTTGTCGACTTAAATAAAATGTTGAAGTACTCGATCGTTTTGAAGAAAAGCGTTCATTGTTCAGCGATTTTGGTTTAATCGTGTGAACCGAATATAATCCGTTTGAATTATGGATTTTTCCGGATTATTTATCATATTGTATATTTTATTTCGGCAATTGCTTGACATTTTTCGTTTAGACTTATTATTATTTAATTAAATGTTGTCTAAGTAATATAATAAGTCGTATAATTCTATTTATTTTTCGTTGTAAGTCGAATCGATCGGGAATCCTTGTTATCGCGTTATTCTTCTATCGACCAATTTATCGGGAATATTTTCGGTCCTTACGGATAATTTTGTTTCAGCCCAAGTTGAATTCTTTTCGACCTTTATGTGCTATTAACATTCAGCCCTTTTATAATTTATTTCCAGTCCAATTGTAAAGACTATTTGGCCCACACTAATTATTACAGTAATTGACCCATTTCCTTTTATAAATTTTGGACCCAACTCTTTCATTAATGCCTTGGCCCAATTGTGTTCTTTTTTTTCTTTGTCTTGGCCCACATGAAGAAAGATTCAACAGCTTCAAAATTTCTCTTTCCCCAGCGACCGAGTCTGCCTAACAGTTCAGATATTACGATTCTTCCGCAAATTTTCAATCGCACGTTCCTCTCTCGACCATTATATCTCGGCCATTTGCTGCTGATAGTCGATCAAAGGAAAATCAGATTCTTCTTTCTCGTTTGGTCGGTCCCAACAACCGAATTTCAGAGCCTTTGAAATCGATCTGAACACCATGGTTCTTCGCCCAAAAATCGCAGATTTGTGCTCGATCAAATCATTCCCTCCCTCGCGCACGTCGTCATCGCCGCTTAACATCAAGTGAGTCGGGAGTTTCAATCAGCCGGGCCCTGTTCAAAATCTCAGACCCCGTCACCCTTTCTTGTTCAATTCGCGAGTCGTCAGTCTTGCCGGAGAAGAAAGCACGAAGCCATCGCCACTTAGCAGCGGCTTTCTCCCGTTCGTCATTCAGCCCCGCAAGCCCTTCGAGCAGCCTCGCCGGCATTCACCGCCCGTCATCACCACCTCCGAGAACAACACCAGTCCGATCGATTCTCCGGCCAGCCTCCGTCGTGCAGCCCCGCTGTTTGCGTGTCCTCCCTGCCCACGAACAACCCTACTCAGCCGCTGTGCAGCAGCGAGTCCCCGACCAACCCATCTCCACGCCGTTACTCCTCTCGGCCGCCTCCGCCGTTTCTCTATAACGAACCCGCCGGCGCTCGCATAGACGCGAACCGCCGTCGCCCAGGAGTCTCGTCCTCCAGCCTTGGGAACAGCTCCGAAAATCTGAAAATCAGCGACGAACCTGGGAGTTCAGGTCGAGAAGATGGTGATTGACCGCCATCTGTTCACGAGCGAACAACCTCCATCGCCGGCGGCAACCGAGAACCCTCAACCTTGCGCGGGACCGGCCTCCAAGGGTTCCAGGCCGCCGCCGCCGCCGAATTGGACCTTCTCAAATCCAAAATTGAGGGTGGCTGATCGATTCTTTGATTTTATTTGGGGAATTTCGTGTATGCTGTGAAGGAGAAGAGAAGAATTGGGAGCGGAAATTTGTGGATCTGCAAGAAAATCGATTTTGGGATGAAGAAGAAATAAGGACGGGAAATAAAAGGAGAGAGAGAAGTAAAAAGAAAGTGGGAAAAATAAAAGGATTGGGCCTTAGTGATTTTATTGGGCCCGAATTTTTGAGCTCATTTTTGTTAAATGAGTGTTAATTGGCCCGAGGCAAATAATGTATTTTGAAGAGGACGAGGCAAGGACATCCGAAAGGGAGCTTCAAATTGATTGCCGAATTATTATTGATTCGTGCCCCGTGCTTCTAGATTATCGAAGTGCGGTAAATCTTGAAACCCTCTCTTTTATTATGTGTTTATGTGATATGAATAAATGTCAGTATTATGTTCGTCATTTCGGTTTGATGTCAAAACTGAAGGACATGGTTGAATTTCGTGGAAACCCTGGAGTTGTGAGTACTATAGTGTGTCCTTGACATGTTAGTGAAAGTCTTATGTCATTTTGATGATTGTGCTATGAGATATGAATTTTGAAATCGTATGTGCTGCCGTACTTTACAAAAATTCATATAAAATCGAATTTGAGGTGTTTTGATTTGGAATTCTGGGGATTGTCTTATCTTGCCAAGATTGTCATTGTATCAAAATTTCACTTTTAAATTCGTAGGTTTGTCTGGGAAACTAGGAATTTCACTTTATAACAGTTATTTTGCAAAAAATATTTCTCCAAGTTAAAATGAGTTTAAGGGTGAATCTCTGTAGTACTTTTGTATTCTTGAGTATATTTTAATGTGTTCTAAATGACATTTAATTGGTTTATTGAGTCTAATTAGTTAAGCTAAAGGTTCAAAACTCCACTAGGAATTCCACGAATCACTTAGTTGATAATGTTTCGGCTAAGTGAATGTTGTTGTATATGATTCTATGTGTCGGATAGTATGTTGATAGGACTATCATGACTGATGTAGGTTCGACGAGCTGAAGCCTCGACCTAAGTTCCTGCCTTGTGTGAATTTACTACTTCGGTATCCAGTGGGTACATTTGTGTTGTATCCATAATTATCGCACTCTTTATTCGTATAAATGCTTCGTTTGAAAAATGTTGTATGTGTGAGAACCCTAGTCTAAGTATCCTATTGGTAGTGTCTTTGACGAATGCATAAACAGTGAGAGGTCACCTGCCCGTTGTATCCGGGAGGAGGACGCCCTGATCCGTGTGTGTTTCGGGGAGGGGGGGAGAGGGGGAGAGGGGGAAAATAGCTCCACTGTCTCCTGGAAAAAGAACTCATGATCCGTGAGTAGTTCGAGGTGGTAAGGTTTCCAGTTACTTCCTTGCCGTTGTATCCAGAAGGTTGTTGTATGTACATAGGAGGTTTGCGATAGGGCCGGGTAGGGGGTTAGACTTTGGATTCTATGCATACTGTGGTTACGTTGTTTTAAATCTTTATACGTGATAACTGTGCGATAATGGTGAGCTCGATGGTGATGCTCACCCCCATTATTTTTCTGTTGCTTCCTCTTCCTTTCTTTAGGTTGAGCTTAGCTGGTGGCGGTGGCGTAAAGACGAGCGAGATGGTGGTAATTGGTTGATTATGATATTGTTATGTTATGCTTCCGCCGAATTTCAAATTGTTACATGACTTGATTTATTTTCTTGCTTGGTTTTGGATATTTCATTATTGTCGGATTTGAACTTTTGGGATTATGCTTTAATTAATGGTTGTTTTGGAACTTAATAAATGTTTGGGTGCAAAATTTGATAACTGTTAGTATTGCATGTGTAGGTTCTATCTGGTCTGTTATGTATGGTTGTTAAATTGCTCTCGGAAATTAAGTAGCGCCCGTTGAGTTTTAAACTTAAATGAGATTTGCAAAAAATTAACTCTGATTTTTATAAATAAATTCGGTAAATCCTTTAAAAGAAAGTGGGGCGTTACACATTCAGGATTGATCTATTAGCGACTTCGGCCTGCCCATTCGCCTGAGGGTGGGCTACCGAGGCGAACGGTTGTTTGATGCCCATCTCCTCGCACAAACTCGTCGTACGTCGACCCCTAAACTGAGTGCCATTATCATATATGAGCACTCGGGGGATGCCGTATCGGCAGCAGATATTGCTAAAAAGAAATTTTATCACCCTCTCTTCTATGATCGTTACCAATGGCCTGGGGCAAGGGTCCAACTATGTCAACTCTCCATTGAGTAAAAAAGGCAAGGGCGAGCTGATTGGAACCATGCTGTCTGCCGACCGATGGACCAATGGACCATGCTGCTGACATGTAACACCCCGCCTAGACTTACTAAAAACAGAGTAAATTTTTTGCGCTATAAATGGGAAGCACTTATTTATTTTTCGAAAACATTAATAATTTTCGAAAAGACTTTAACTTTAATACACGGGATGCTACTGCTGAAATCTATTCCCTTTAATTACTATGCATGCAACCAAGTAAAGTTTACTGGAGTCATTCATGCATTCTGAAATTCTGAAATTATAGTTCTGAAATGCGGAAGCAAATATAGTTCGAAAAGTACACACTAACACATGAAAAACATGCAAATACAAAAGACAGTTTAGACATGTTCAAGTGACTATAAGACATGTCATATCAAAAATGCCCTGGCTTACGACCACCACCACATCCAGCTCACGCTCCACGCGGGACTCCGTCACCTGAAAAAGAAGGTAGTGGGGAGGCGTGAGCACAAAGAAATCAACGGTGCTCCGCCAGGACCGGTACTGAATACCCAGCACCTTTAATAATCCATCATGAAATTAGCATATATATAAATAAACTGGAACTGACTATATGGGACTAACGGTAAACCGGTACTCATGTGCACACTCTGGGGGTCCCCTCCCTCAGAAATCCAGGAAGGCACTAATCACCACATCTGGACGCTAGACTTAGGATGGGCCCTAATCACACACATCCAAGTCATAACTGAAATACTGAAATATTGACCAAGACGAGATTACTCAACCGTCTCGGTCCTTCAATGTAATCACATATAGACCTTAGACATGGTAAACTATTAAAAGCAATGAAATACACAGTACAGGATCCCCACCTGAAAACCGGCGAATGCGAAATGCGGAAATGCTGAAATGAGTAGCTGACGGAGGCTCGACTCTCCTCGAGCTACAAAATATATTGAGCGAAATATTCTAAGTACTGGGCTCAGAATAAAACTCAAATCTTTAATATCTTATATATCTAGGTTCGCTCATTCTGCTTTAAAAAAAAATCATTTTATGGATTTACGAGTTGATTTTTTAAAATATTATTGACTTTGAGGCATTCTAGAATTCTCTGAAATTTTTCTAAGTCTGGAACTAAAATCTGACTTGATCTATTCTGACTGAAATCTAACTGTATATGGATCTTAAATCTATCTAGAATCTCAACTATATCTGAAATTTTAATCTGACTGGATCTGAAATTTATCTCGAACCGTCCGAACTGACCGGACCGATTCGACTAAATTGGACCGACAACTCACTCGGAGCCGGTCGGTCATTCGCTTGACTATGTGCAGCTCGGTTTGACTGTGGTTTGACTGACACGGTTTAGCCGATGCACGAGTTTGAAACGGTGCCACGGTCACTGACGCAGGGGCGTGCTTGGACCACGGCTAATGAAACGACGCGTGATCGGTAGGTCGGGTGGACTCGGTGCACGGGCACGCACTCGGTTATTCGGCTCCAACGGTCGGACGAGAGTCGAGCACGTGTGTGAAATGATGATACGTATCACAAATTATCGATACGACGGTTAAGATTATTCAGACGGTACTAGGGTTCGGTTATTTATATTCGGATCCGGAAAAATACCCGGTTACCGGATCCGGATAAAACTAGGGTTTTGATTCTCGAAAATCCTAACTCATTTAAGGCCGATATTTAATCTATATATTCTATGTGATTTATATATCAATTTATAATTCACAACTGCAGCAAAAGTATTAACCGGACTATTTTCTATATTTCTCGAATTAACGGCTAAAGTCCCGATTTTAAATCTAAGTCAACCGGCATCCAAAATTCACGAAATTCGCAACATAACATCCTCAACATGTGTACAGTCCATGGTCAACGTCTCAAGTCCAAAGTCAACTCCTAGACTAGTCAACTCAAGATCGCTACGACCGGTCAACACATTTGACCGGCTCGTTCGCCTATCAAACGAAGTCCGAAAATTCTCAAATTCGCACCTAAGCCTCAAATCAACGCAACGAATTTAATGGTATTTATTTCGACATTTTATCAAATTTATTTAAAAAGTCCGAAATAGTCGCTTCAAGCCCGAAAATCCCGATTTATTCAAATCGCACTCAAATCACCAAGTTATCATTTTTATAATTATTCGATAATCGTATCTAAGCCATTGGAGTCGAGTTTTAGCCGATATACCTTAAATCGGCTCAGATCGGATAAACCGAAAGTAGATCGAGCTAGGAAAATGGATCGGGTGAAATGAAACGAGTCGGATCTCGGATGTGAGGTGAGAGGGTCGGGTATGGCTCGCTGGTGCGCTGGTTCGGGTCGGTTGGTGCAGCTGGTCGCGGATCTGGTCGGGAAGGACCGGAATCGAGCTCGTCGGCGCGTGGACTCGCGTGTGGACTGGAGGTGCTCGCGGTTTGAGCTCGGGGACGGCAGACGCGAGCTGGACGGCGTGTGAACGGGCCGAAACCAGAGCTGAGGAGCTCGCCGTGAGCTGGGAGGACTGGTGGTCGGCGTGTGCTCGAACTCGCCGGAGGATATTGCCGGAAAACGTGGTGGGTGGCCGGATTCTTGAAGGTGGTGGATGGTGGAGATGAAATGAAGATGGAGGAGATGATGGATCTTGAATATGTTGAAGGAGATGAATAGTAGAGTGGTGGTTAGGGTTTGGTGTGTTTGTGTTGGAAAAAGGGGGACAAGACACTTATT